GATGTCATTTTAACTCTTTGTGTTGTAATTGACTACATTTCAGGTCGACCGTGCCTCACTTAAATCTCTTCCTTTCTCTCAATCACTGCAGAAGTGTTTGTACAGAGCGGGGGAATATCATGCATTCCTCCGTGCAGCTTTCTCAGGGCTGGCTTTCTTCTCCCTTCTCAAAATCAGTCCTTCAGCCTAGCAGAAAAGCATTAGGAATCCAATTTTTGAATGCTTTTGTTATCTGCATTATTGAAAATCTATTCAAGCAAATATACTGAGCTGAGGGTTTTCTTTATCTTGATTAGACGCCCCTCCTTAGCTGTATAGTCTTGAAATAATTGGAAGCTTTTGTGGATTCCACTATCTACTTGGGAGAAAAGAGGAGCTGGACAAAGATATCCCAGCCCGCAGCCCTCGTTGAGTAACGTATCGTCATTTATTGTAATCGGCAGTGATGCAAACTACGGGAAGAACTTTCCCACCGGCAAAGGCCTTCCCAGGTGTGAGCAGCAGCGGAAACGTGATGCTTTTTTGGGGAGCGGAGCAGAACCGGTTGCAAGCGCGCCGCTCATGCGCGCCGCGTCCATATGAATCGTGTGCACGTGCGATACGGGTGTCCGCGCGGGGTGTTCAGCTCGAAGATGTCCCTGGTGGCACATCGCAAAAGTGAAAATATTTTAATAGAGACAGAAGGTACAAAATTCCTCCCCCTGAATCTGTTCAAATGAGATTTGCTGGTGCTTGTAGATGAAGCAGTTGTGTGGATGTTTTTGAGCCTGATCGCTAAAAGGCAGTGCTGAGGGATGCTGGCAGAAGTTTAATTTTTATCAGCTCCTCTTAGGTGGCACCCTTAAGTTTATCAAACAAGCAAAGCTGATTTGCTCTTCGTTAGTCTCAGTTGCATGAATTGGTTGCCAAGTAAACAGGATTTTGCATTTTCCTAATTACTTTCATATTTGTGTTTTACCTCTATTTGTTCTCTTGCAAAACTGGTCCTAATAATTAGTCAGACTCCTGCTGCCTAGACCTTAAAAAAATAAAGGGGGGGAGGAAAAAAAAGACTTCTGAGGGGTTTTTCTCCCTTATAAATTCATTTTTGTTACAAGCATCTTTTATACATATTACTAAAGGGAGCCCACTAAGAAATGCAAATAATAGTTCTTTATTTTATTATGACAGTTAATTAATAGCAACCTGTTTTAATGAATAAAGTCACTCAGAGTCCTTCAGCACTTCCTAAGTAGAGGCCAGAATCTGTAGGGATTCTTTTTTCCCCCCGCATTGTATAGCTCCGAGACTCCGCGCGCTATATAGGGCCTGTATAGAAATGCTCGCTAATGAAGAGGGAGGGCGAGGAACTTGTCTGCATTCAAAGATCACTGGTGAGTCATTCAGCGAGAAAAGGCCCCTTGCTAGGAATAGTCACAGTTCCGCGGCATTGTGCTAGCAAAAGGGTTTGATCAAAGGTCTCCTGCCGAGCTTGCATGGTTTCCTTTCATACGACGACCATAATTAAAACCACTAATTCTCTTTTAAAATGCTGCAGGATGCCATGTAGGCATCTGTCTGGAGTGTCCTTTGTGCTGTCGGGAGCTGTTAAGGACCAGCGCCGAGGGCTTTTCAGCGACATGCCAGTCAGGAAGGTGATTCGACATAAGGGTGCCTCTGAAGGCTTGACAGGGCCTTGACTACACAATTCCAGCTGAATTTGCCCCTTGTCAGCTGCCAGTAAATAAATCTCAAAGAAGGCAGGCGGGGAGAAAGCTGAAGTTTCATTACCTGATCCCCGGGGCTTTGTTGGTTTTGGCATCGCCCAGGGGGAAGCCCTCGCCCCTCGGGGCCGGGGAGCTGGGGATGGCCATTGGAGACCCCAGCGCCCGGGCCGTTTGAAGACCGTCAATACTTGTAACAGTTCAGCTGTTAGGAAGACAAATAAATGGAAGAGCCCATTAATCCCCTTTGGGTACTTGGTGCCTTTTGCCCTTTTATCGCAGCCTTATTAGGTTCCTACTCATCTTGAACCAGGAGGGATGAATTGAAGTTGTTGAGCGCTAATTGGCAAAGACTTTTCATCGCGGGCCAAGAACTTTCACTGACTTGAAAGTAACTTCACCATGGGGAGGATCAGCAAATTCTTGCCTCGCCATTAAAACAAAACCCCAAAGTCCCGTTGGGATTCAATGCGGTGTTTAAAAAAAAAATGGACAAAAAAGAGAGAGGCAACTGATAAATTGTTGGGCTTGTCCTTCATGAGGATGTTGGCAACTTATATTTGCTCTTTAAAAGAAAGTCACAGAGCCAGACGCGGCACAGGGCGATCCATCCTGAAATGCTTTTGAAATCCACATGTTTTACATGTGTATGCATGCGTTACCAAAACCTGCTCACTTCCCAAAGACAGCCTGGGAGATGATCTATAAGGTGGCACCATTGTTCTTGACAGTTTTCAATGGCTCAGAGGTTGAGCAGAGCGGTGCTAATGTTTACATATGCCCAGGGATGATTCTGGCTGACCTCGAGTCATCTCTGGGTCTGGTGATGGGATTTATAGATGGGATATACGTCATCGTGGAGGCACATGGATGTTCTTATGCGAGTTGTTTTTTAATGTTGATTTTGGTAAATGCTGCATTAATTTGAACGTACCTATTGCCCTCTCTCTCCGTGTCCCCTATTGCATATTTTAAATAAAGAATAAAACTTTTACCAGGTTGTGAAAGCATCTTCTACACGATGAGTGACAACGTCATGGGCCACCTCAGCCTCAAAGACATCGAGCTGGGGGGTTTATAGCACAAAATCCTATTGATGTGTTTCCCAGCCTCTGCATTTGGGGGACTCGTGAAACAAGGTGCCCACATTAAGGATGGCATCTCCCCCTGGGATGCCAACATGCGTATCCTGGCGAAGCCCACCCATGCCGGAGTTGGAAGTGCCTTTCCAGGGACTGCCAGGGCCAGGAGCTTGGCACGGCGCTACGTGAGCAAACAGGCAGCTAAAGCTCCTGCTCCGCTCACAGTAGGGAATGAAGACATCATTGTCAGTACCTTTCGAAAGGCTGTTTGGTTTGGATCTGCCCGACGAAGCCAGAATGAGGGCTCACAGCGTTGCCTCTGCCAGGACTGGTGGCACCACATCCTCCACGCATTGTCCTTTCTAGGGGAGTGT